CCCTGATAATCTAACTGATTAGTGTATGTGGTTGATAAGGTAATGTGGAACTATGAAGTTGGTTGCATATGTGTCACATTGTTTGCAGCCCTGATAATCTAACTGATTAGTGTATGTGGTTGATAAGGTAATGTGGAACTATGAAGTTGGTTGCATATGTGTCACATTGTTTGCAGCCCTGATAATCTAACTGATTAGTGTATGTGGTTGATAAGGTAATGTGGAACTATGAAGTTGGTTGCATATGTGTCACATTGTTTGCAGCCCTGATAATCTAACTGATTAGTGTATGTGGTTGATAAGGTAATGTGGAACTATGAAGTTGGTTGCATATGTGTCACGTTGTTTGCAGCCCTGAGACATCATCTGATTACGTGTTGGTGAAGTAACGTGGAGTTATGGAGAAAGTTTCTTATGTGTCATATATGTTGCAACCCTGAGAAAATTTTAAATTTTCACTTTCACAGTAATACCCGGTTTAAAGTAAGCACGCGGAACAGCAGCGTTAAAAGGAAATCGTGTCCAATCACTAATGAAACCTGACAATGATTGTCAGTATCGTATACTTGTAACACATGGAGTTCAAAGTACTATACCTAATTATGTAAAAACTAGGACGCGAATTGCGTAACAGATGCCAAACGAAATAGGAGAGCCAGCTCTCTAGCTTGTATAGTATTCTTATCTATAGAGATTCTTCAAGTCAGTAATTCCTTCATATAACGGAAGTTTCAAGGATTTATTTCTCAGGTACTGATTAGAATAAAGGAGAGGAGTATTAGTGTGGCTGGACAAAGTTGGTGTGAATAACTTATGAACAAGAACGACGTCAACACCAAAATTTACAAATTGATAAAATACTTGCAGAATATTGACAAAATTCAATGGTAACTATCATGACACTTACACAATAGTAAATATCAAGCTAATAGAATAAAACGTTAACATGAGTAGACACAATCAACTTTTATGACTACCAACATCACTTGACTGGATTGCTCACTTCTAAGAAGACGACTAGACTTACCTGGACTTATCTCGAACTAAACTTTTCTGAAAATGACACAAAGACAAACGGATACTCACACAGAAAAGTATAATTTTATCCAATTGCCAAAAGGTATTGTAAAATTATCATAATCATTTTTAACGGCTCAACAACATAAGGTCATGTTAAAAGGGACAAACAAACTAGTAAAAAGATAGATCGTCAAATACTGGAGGTCACCAAGAAAGCGTGACTTTCACTGGTTGAAAGTCATAAAGAGTAGACAACTAAAGTCGAGAAATATTGTTTTCATTATTTATTTATTTGTTAAGAAAATTACAAACTATAAAAATTGCAAATAATTTACAAAACACAAAATATTAATCATCCCAAAGCAGTAAAGCCATTCACTTTTAATAAGTAACTTAATAAAGTAATTATTTTAATTTTCACTTTTCGTATAATGAATTTATCATTTCACCACTACAAACAAAACTGCTGATTTCCTACAGTTATATAGATGTTTTCTTAATAGTAACTTAAATGTCTTTATATTATTTTAATTTCTTAAATTGTACTGGTGAAATACTAAATATATTTGGTTGGTTGTTATTCTTTTTTGAATTTCACGTAAAAACCACTCGAGGGAAATCTTTACAAGTCGTCCCTAATTTTGAAATGATAGACTGGAAGCAGTTAGTCAAAACCATCCGCTGCCACTACAACTCGTGGGCTACTCTAATCGAAGAGGAGATATGATCACTACTCTTTAACTCACCCTAAGTCCCAAACTGTGAAGCGCCGTTTGATAGTGAGGGTAGTGATAACAAGACATATGATACTCTTTAGATTTTATCGATTCAAGTAGCAGGAATTATACAGCCAAAACTGAATTTCATGAAGATATAAAATAAAAGACTGAAAGAATGCCTGAATCGTCCGTGAAAATATAATGTTAAGTATAATACAAAGAAAACAATATGCTAAACATACCATTCTTACTTTAAATAACCTCTACATTTAACAAACCCTAAAAGCGGCTATAACTCAGCTTCAAAGATATACTGGACCAACACGACCCAGTATTTAGTGTGTTGGACTGTGGATCCGACGTTAAAGTCTGTAGTGTATTTGTTACAGATTCCACCCTTCTCTAAAATTAAACTGTCAAAGCTGCTTAATGGGTTTTCATTGCTAGGGAAGCATTCAGTCATATTAGACTGATGTTACGACGGTAGTTCAATCTAACCGCTAGTTTTTCTGTGTTCCCTATGTAAGTTACATTATATTATTTATTTCATTAATAGTATTGGTTAGACTGTTTAATATATCTAATTTTATTACTTTTTAATTTTATTTATTATCATTATTATCCTTTTATTAATGAAACCACATTGCATGGTTAACGTATCTATTGTTATATTAAAAATATCGTTAACAGTGAAGGTATTTAATTAATATAATAATGCAGTTTAACCTAATGTAAGGAAAGTATATCTAATTAGCTATGCTGATTATCAGGGGGACTTTTAGTTTCGTTCTATGTAGGTAGATTGCTCTAATCGAAGTTGATATTGATTAATAGAATGGAATTAATGTAATGGTTGGTTTAATATTAGTAATGTCACACCTATCATTGTTCAGCTACTTTACAGTTGGCAAAATGTTCTCCTATGTCATCTACACACAAAACTATTGCTATCATGGATTTCAAGACACAAAATGGAAAGCGGTTCTATCTAGCTGCGTGATAGCTAAATGTGATAGGCTCATGGTTTTCTCTTGGTGTAGGGAGACATCTAGACAAACTGGTAGTCGCATCAAAAGTAATGATGCTGTGAATGTTGGGCGTTTTAATGACCAGATCCCCATAACTACAGTCACGATTTTTATGTTAATATAGCGCAATGCTCAACCACGTCGTACTGTTAAAATTACCATGAAAATTGTGCTTTTTATAATCCTGGGACTTATAGTGTGAAGCAATTCTGTGCATGTTAACAAATTGGAATTATGAATGTGGTTGAAAAACACATAAATTTCACTTTGATTAATACTTTGAGAATTATAATTTAGTAATGTGCAAAACATATAATAAAAATACTTGGTTCCTAATTTATTTCGTTTAATCTCTTTTAATAATTATTATTTGAGGAGATTCGGAGGAAATGTTGGAAAAATAATTAAAGAGCAGTTTTTGATAAGATCTAATACTCCATAGATTCAACGTGTTAACT